TGCGGTGGATCACGAGGTCAGGAGATCAAGACCATCCTGGCTAACACAGTGAAACCCCGTCTCTACTAAAAAATATGGAAAACTAGCCGGGCGAGGTGGCGGGCGGCCTGTAGTCCCAGCCACTCGGGAGGCTGAGGCAGGAGAAGGCATAAACCCGGGAGGCGGAGCTTGCAGTGAGCTGAGATCCGGCCATTGCACTCCAGCCCGGTGACAGAGCGAGACTCGCATCTCCAAAAAAAAAAAAATAAATAAAATAAAATAAAGTGTGTAACTTAGTACTTTTGGCCAGGCATGGTGGCTCACATCTGGAATCCCCACACTTTTGGGAGGCCGAGGCAGGAGAATTGCTCAAGCCAGGGGTTTGAGACCAGCCTGGGCAACATAGGGAACCCCTGTCTCTACAAATTAAAAAATTAGCTGGATCTGGTGGTGCGTGACTGTAACTCCAGCTACTCAGGAGCTGAGGTTGTAGGCTCACTGAGCCTGGGAAGTTGAGGCTGGCAGGTCTTGGCCTCCCAAAGTGCTGGGATTACAGGCTTGAGCCACCGCGCCCGGCCAAGTTACACACTTTAAAAGGATGAATTGTGTGGCCTGTGAATTACATCTCAATAAAGCTGTCAGGGAAAATAAAAGGAAACAGCCCAGTGGGGGCGCTAGTGCAGCACATGCAGGCAGGCATCCAGCACACACGAAGAGCTCCCCGGGCTGGGACCCTGGTTCTGTGTGTCCTCTCCAGACCCCCGGCCTGATCCCTCCCGTGTGGAGGAGACACAGTGAGCCCAACTTCAGCAGGTGTGCATAAGGATTCAGCCAAGCAACACTTGGCATGGAGAAACTGCCCCACAGATGTTGGTTTTTGTCCCATCCCTGGCCCTGACCTGGCCCCTGTGTCCCAGGAGGCAGTGCATGGGGGAGTCCTGGCCAGCTCTGCCCTGTGGAGCTGCACAAACCTGGCCATGTCCCTCTGCCCACACCTCAGTTTCTTCCCCTGTCAAATGAGGATGCAAACGGTCCCACTTCACAGGCCATTAGGATAAAAAGAATTTGTGGCTGGACATGGTGGATCACACCTGTAATCTCAACACTTTCAGAGGCCAAGGCGGGAGGATCCCTTGAGGCTAGGAGTTCAAGACTAGCCTGGGTAACAAAGCAAGTCCTGTCTCTATATAGGTTAAATTTAAAAGAAAATAATAAGAAGAATTCAAGTACAGCAGGGGTTCTGACCATGGGGCTTTCTATGACATCTGGGGGCATCTGCGCTGTGGTAGGTGGGGTGACAGTATCTCTCCATGGCATGGAGGCCACCCACTAGATACTGCTCAATGTCCTGTAATACGTAGGATGACCCCTGAGAGAGTGAACCAGCCCCAGTGTGAACAGTGCCCAGCTGAAAAACTGCTGCGCGCAAAGCGTTCACGCTGAGGGCCGGGCAGTCTCCTCCCAAAGTGGTCATGTCTGCTTTGTGGCTGGCAGGGGGTCTGGCCGAGTGCACCACTCACTCTGCCTGCAGCACTCAGTGGCCAGAGGCCCAACAAGCATGGGAATAAACGAGTGAAGGCGATGCCTGTCCCTCTGCCCCAGCAGATCCCGAGGGCCCACCCGACACCCCCCCAGCACCCCTGCCCCCAGCCCCACCCGGACACTCACAGGAGATGGCGAAGAGGGCCTTGACGCGCACTGTGTCGCAGGCGTCGCGGTCCAGCAGCCGCAGCAGCTTACGCAGGGCGCCCAGGCCCAGCACCTGCTCCTGGATGGCTGCCACGTTCTGGCTGCACGTGCCGATGAGCTGTGCCGCCCGCCACCGCAGCCCCGCAGCCCCCGCCTCCAGGTACCGGCCCACCAGCAGGTGCATGCCCGACAGCTGGCAGAAGTCTGTGCCACAGAGGGGAGCAGAGAGAGGCCAGATGTTAGGGACTGAACTGTGCCCCCCAAAATGCATGGGTTGATGCTCTGACCCCCAGGACCTTGGAATGTGACTGTTCTTGGAGATGGGATCTTCAAAGAGATAATTCAGGCAAAATGAAGTCCTCAGGGTGAGCCCTACCGCAATCTGACTGCTGTCCTGATAAGAGGAGATGAGAACACAGACACCCACAGGGGGACAACATGGAGGGAGGACACAAAAAATGCCTTCTGCAAGCCAAGGAGAGAGGGGCTCAGGAGAAACCAGCCCTGCCCACACCCTGATCTCAGACTTCTAGCCTCCAAAGCCGTGAGAAAATACATTTCTGTTTTTAAAGCCAGTAGTCTGTGGTGCTTGGCTAAGGTAGCCCTAAGCTGACCACCACAGCTGCTGAGGCCAGGAGACCCAGGCTGGCTCCCACAGGGACCTGGTTCTCTCCAAACACCCAACCAGAGGTCCCTCCAAGCCCAGTACAACTCGATTCCATCGGCACTTGGGGCATTAGGGCCCCAGGCTCCAGACTACTAAATGCCAGGACTGATCCTGGTTTTTGTGACAATCTGAATGTCCCCAGGGTCAGCAAACCACAGCCCACCTCCGGTTTTTATAAATAAAGTGGTATTGGAGAGCGTGGCCGTTGCTCAAAAAGTGAAACACAGATTCCCTGTGACCGAGCAATTCCACACCAAGGTACAGACTCAAGAAAACCAAAAGTAGGGACTCAGATACTTACACACTCAGGTTCATGGCATCATCATTCACAAATGACCCAAATGTCCTTAAAGGATAAAGAGATAAATAAAAACTGCTCTAGCCATACAATGGAGTATTACTCAGCCATAAAAAGGAATGAAGCAGCTGGGCATGGTAACTCAAGCCTATAATTCCAGCACTTTGGGAGGACAAGGTGGGCAGATCACTTGAGTCCAGGAGTTCCAGACCAGCCTGGGTAACATAGCAAAACCCCGTTGCTACTAAAAATACAAAAATGCCAGGCCTGGCGAGGCACGGTGGCTCATGACTGTAATCCCAGCACTTTGGGAGGCCGAGGCGGGTGCATCACGAGGTCGGGAGTTCGAGACCAGCCTAGCCAACATGGTGAAACCCCATCTCTACTAAAAATAGAAAAATTAGCTGGGCATGGTGGCGGGCGCCTATAATCCCAGCTACTCGGAAGGGCAAGGCAGGAGAATTGTTTGAACCCAGGAAGCAGAGGTTGCAGTGAGCTGAGATCGTGCCACTGCACTCCAGCCTGGGCAACAGGGTAAGACTCCGTCTCAGGGAAAAAAAAAAAAAAAATTTAGCCAGGCCTGATGGCATGCACCTGTAATCCCAGCTGTTTGGGAGGCTGAGGTATAAGAATCACTTAAACCCAGCAGGTGGAAGTTGCAGTGAGCTGAGATTGCACCACTGCACTCCAGCCTGGGAGACTGACTCAAAAAAAAAAAAAGGATTAAAGCTCTGACACACACCACAACATGGGCACGCCTTTAGCACAATCAGCCAGACACAAAAGGTCACATGTTATAGGCATCTATATGAAATGTCCAGAATGGGCAAATTCATAGACCCAAAACACCGATTAGTTGTTGCCAGGGGGCCGGGGGAGGGCCTGCCTAATGGGTGCTGGGTCTCCTTTGTGGGCAATGGAAAAGTTCCGGAAATAGAGGTGGTGTTGCACAACACTGTGAATTGACAGTAAGTGGTAGAAACAGCCATGTGGGAGGATGTTCCCCTCAGCCCACCTTCATCAGCACTGCGCATCCTCATTAAAACAGAAAAGATACACATATATATTTATATCTATATACAGAGACAGCGCCTAGGCCAGGGAGGAAGTGGTATCTTTGGCTTTCGTTCTCATTTGATTACTAATAAGGTGTAAAATTGCTGCTGCTGTGATTGGACACTCAGCACAGTGCTTAGCACACAGCAGCTGCTCAACAGATATTTCCTGAACAAGCAAAAAATGAATGAAAGAGCAAAGTCGTTAAAAGCCATCCTGCGGACTGGAGCGGGAGTTCTCTGCCGGGTTAAGACTGGGAAACACTGGGGAGAAGTAAGCTGGGGGGTGGCAACTGCACCGCAGGTCTTCTCAGGGCGCTAAATGCACTCACAGAGGAGAGCTTCACAAACGCCGTCCAGCCCCTGTCCAAAATGAAGACACCTGACTCCCATGCCTGACATGTTACGTGTACTCTGTGCCTGGGGTTGTGCGGGCCTGGAGGTTTCTCTCAGCCCATCCTCACCAGCCTGTGTACAAGAGGAAGTCACCAGGACCTGCCCAAACCAGACTGCCATGTAGCAGCACAGCCTGAACTATGAACCAAGGAAGTGACACCCCAAATCCACACCCTCAATGGCTACACCACACAACCCCTCCAAATGGAAAGGGGCTCTCCTCAAACCTTCTGTCAGCTCTGCTACTTGCAGTAAAACAGCGTTTAACTCGGTCTGCAAGGCCCTGCCCACCCCCACGCTGTTTCCTACGCCTGGCCCCTCACTCACTCTACTCTGCCTCAAGGGCCTGGCTGCTGTTCCTGAACACACCAGGTGCGCTCTGGCCTCAGGGCCTTTGCACTGGCTGTTCCCGCGGTCTGGAATGCTTTTCCCAGAGATCATCCCACAACTTGCACCTCACTTCAGGTCTCTGATCAAACGTCGCCCCGGAAAGGCCTTCTCTGCCACCCCACCCATGCCACTTTCTCTCTTGTACTCTGGGGAGTGGCAGTGGACACCCAGAGGACTAGGAGAGAAACAGCCATCTCAGAACTGATCAGGGAAGTGGGGGACCCCACCTGCCATGAGGGTGAGGAAGAGCCTTGCTCCTTATGGCAATGGAGGCAAAGAGGCTGATGGTGAGAGGGCAGCAGGGAGGCTGATGGTGTGATCCCCAAGAGTAGGGGCAAGAGCTGAGAGGCAGCAGGACATGTACAGAGAGGCAGGACGTCCCGGTGGGGGAAGTGGGGTACCTGCGGCATTGTCCATGTTCTCACACAGGTCGGCCAGCAGCTCCAGGGCCCCCTCTCGCTCTTGCTGGTCGGCTGCCTGCTCAGCCTCCCCAGCAGTGGGGGGCATGGGCTGTGACAGCACTCGGAGGCAGCTCTTCATCTGCTCCACCTCCTCCCGCTGGCCTCGGAAGGCAGCCGACATGGCCTCCTGCAACCACTGACGCCTCTGGGGACCAAGGCGAGGAAGAAAGGAGATCTATCAGTCATTAATTAAAAAGGAACAGCCATTAATAAAGACAGCCAACTGAGGGCTGATGTTCCTTCAGTCAACAAATACTGGCTGGGCGCTGTGGCTCACGCCTGTAATCCCACCACTTTGGGAGGTCAAGGTGGGCAGACTGCCTGAGCTCAGGAGTTTGAGACCAGCCTGGGCAACATGGTGAAACCCCATCTCTACTAAACTACAAAAAGTTAGCCGGGCATGATGGTCCGAGCCTGTAGTCACAGCTTCTCCGGAGGCTGAGGCACGAGAATCACTTGAACCTGGGAGGCAGAGGTTGAGGTGAACCAAGATCGCAATATTGTACTCTAGCCTGGGCAACAGAATCAACTGAACATCTATTTTTTTCACAGACACTTTTCTAGGTACTAAAGGCAGCCCTGGGCCAGACAGAAACCCCTACCCTGGGGGTGGGGCTCACATTCAGGTTGAAGAACAGTCAATAAAGAAAATAAGCAAAAGTGTAGCATTTGACATGGTGAGATTATAAGCGTCCTGAGTTAAGTAAGATTAAGCACAGTGGGGGATCTGGAGTGCCAAACTGTGGCTGCAGAATTAAACAGGTCGGGGCCGGGTGCGATGACTCACATCTGTAATCCCAGCACTTTGGGAGGCTGAGGCAGGAGGATCACTTGAGCCCAGGAATTTAAGAGCAGCCTGGGTAACATAGTGATACCCCATCTCCACAAAAAAAGAGTTTTAAATTAGCTGGGCATGGTGGTGCATGCCTGTGGTCCCAGTTACTCAGAAAGCTGAGTGGAGAGGATGGCTGGAGCCTAGGAATTTAAGGCTGCAGTGAGTGAGACCTTGTCTCTAGAAAAAAAAAAGAAAAGAAAAGAAAAAGAAATGGGTTGGTCATTGAGGGTCCCAGGGAGGTGACTGGCAAGAAAAGCAGTAGGCGAGGGACTGAGCCAGGCCACATCTAGAAGTGGTTGCAGGCAGAGGGAACCACCAGGAGGCCAGTGTGGTGAAGGCAGAGTGAGCAAGGAGAAAGGGAGCGGGGAGGGGAGCAGGTGATATTAGGTCTTGCAAACTTTTGTAAAAACCTGGGATTTCCCTCTGAATAGGTGTGGGAGCTGCCGGAGGGCTCTAAGCAGAGGAGCAGGGACACCGGCATTGCTGTTGATTGAGAACAGATGGAGGAGGGGCAACGGCAGGTGCAGGAATATGAAACAGGAGGCTACAGCTGGGAGCAGGCAGGAGAGAAGGTGGTGTGGAGCGGGAAGGAGAGAGGAGTGGGGAGAAACGGTCAGACCCTGCACTTACTTTGAAGAGAGAGCCCGTTTGATTTAGTGAGATACGAGGTGTGACAGAAAGAGAGGTCAAGGATGACTCCGAGGTCTCTGTTCTGAGCAACCAGGAAAAGATGGGGAAATGGTGTGAAAAGCAGGTTTGGGGTGGGAAGAGCAGGGATTTCAGCTCATTTTCAAATGTGTCAAATTTGAGGGATCTATTACACACCCAAGGCAAAAGACTGAGGAAGCTGCCTGAAGCCCAGGCGGAGGTGCAGCCTGGACCAGGATTTCCCAACTTCAGCTCTACTGACACTTTGAACTGGATAGTTCTCCGTGGTCCGTCCCGTGAACCACAGGATGCTGGGCAGCATCCCTGGCCTTCACGCACTGGATGCCAGTATCCCCCTTCCTCCAGTTGTGACAACCAAGAATGTTTCCACACCAATTGTCCCCTGGGGAATAAAAATCACCCCCAGTGAAGGATCACTGGCCTAGAGATATAAATTTGAGACTTGTCAGAATAAAGCCTTACAACAATATGAGGCCGGGCGCGGTGGCTCACGCCTGTAATCGAGCACTTTGAGAAGCTGGGGCGGGCCGATCACCTGAGGTCAGGAGTTCGAGATCAGACTGGCTAACATGGTGAAACCCCGTCTCTACTAAAAATACAAAAATTAGCCAGGCATGGTGGCGTGTGCCTGTAATCCCACCTACTCGGGAGGCTGAGGCAAAGGGAATTGCCTGAACCTGAGAGACAGAGGTTGCATGAGCTGAGATCACACCACTGCACTCCAGCCGGGGCAACAGAGTGAGACTCTATCTCAAAGAAAAAGGAGATGAGCGCTAATAAGTGACTGCTGGAATTTTGGGGGGTGAGGGAGGGGAGCAGAGGTCTCCTTAGTCACAGTTCTAAGTAAATTTGAGTGAGCTATTTAATGTTTCTGTGCCTGTTTCATGCCTCACTGTCGTAAAGGTTCAATGACGTCATGTACGTAAGTGGGTTAGCATAATGCTCTGTATACAGTAATTGCCAATTAAACATTATATATAATAACTATTCCTATTAATCTGCAAAACAACTCTATGAGGTATATGTATTATTGTTATCTCCACTTCACAGACGAGAAAGTTGAGTCACAGAAAGATTGAGACTTACCCAAGGTCACACAGTCAGCAATTGACAAAGCTTGAAATCAAACCCAAGCAGTCTAGGCTGGGCGTGGCGGCTCACATCTGTAATCTCACCACTTTGGGAGGCTGAGGCAGATGGATCACTTGAGGCCGGGAGTTCGAGACCAGCCTGGCCAATATAGTGAAACCCCTTCTCTACTAAAAATACGAAAATTAGCCAGGCATGGTGGCCCATGCCTCTAATCCCAGCTACTAGGGAGGCTGAGGCACGATAATTGTTTGAACCAGGAAGGCAGAGGTTGCAGTGAGCCAAGATTGCGCCTCTGCACTCCAACCGAGACTGTGTCCCCCACCCCTACCCCCCACCAAAAAAAAAAAAAAAACAAGCAGTCCGACTACAGAGCCTGTGCTCTTCATGAAAACATACTGCTGTCTTCAGAAGCACTGTCTGTATGCTGGACACTGTGTGCAGCCCTACTTAAAGTAGAACCTCAGAACTACCCTATACCGTAGTTATTATTATTATCAATTTGTAAATGAAGAACTTGAGACTCAGAAAGATGAAGTAATATATCCAAGGTCACACAGCTGGACAATGCTGGATCCAGGTCGGTCTGGCTCTGGAAAGGATATGTCCCCCCAGACTCTCTTGAGATCTGACCTTCAGTCAACGAGGACTCCATCTAGCACAAATTATAGCCTACAATGCCTCCACACCTGGACTCCTGCCACCCACCCAAGAAGACCCTAGTCTTCTTGTGGCTCCCCAAGTCACACTTCCCAAGGCACCTCTATCTGTCTCCAGGCCCCTCACCCCAGCTTCTTGGGTCCCCATCTTTTACCTCCTCACTCATGGGTTCTGGAGGAGGGTCTGGCTCTTCAGAGCCCGCGGTGATGGCCATCTGCAGCAAGCCTTGGAGGTTGCGTGGGGGCCGGGAATTGCCCGAGCCCCCAGCCGAGGAGGAGCCGCCGCCGCCGCCGCCGCCGCCCCCTGAAGAGCAACCCTGGGAGGCCGGGGGCAGCGCCAGGGGCAGGCGGCTGCCTCTTGAGCCTTCGTCTGACATGGGCCGTTTGTGAAGAAGGTTAGAACGTGTTAGGGGGAGAAGGTGGTCACCGCTGAAGCAGCTCTGGCGTCCTGATGGGTCGATTCTTGAGGGTCTGGTGAGAAGGTGGCGTTTTAGGGGAGCTCGGCGCCCCCCCATGACCCCAAACGACTCTGTCCCCAGCCCACTCAACCACAGCCCCTTTTCCTTCCTTCATACCCACAGGACCCTTCCCCAAAGTCATAAGCCCCTCCTTTCTCCCTAGCAACACGCCCCACCCACTCTCCCTGGCAACAACCCCCCTCCCCCATCTCCAATGCGTGCGTCCCGTCTCTTAGCAACCTCACTGCCCCGCCTCCGTAGCAACAAGCCCGCCCTTTGGTCTCCTTAGCAACAAGTCTTCTCCCTCCTCTCCGAAGAGGGGCGCCGGAATAGGGCGGATCTCACCTCCCCGGGTCCTCAAGCCGCCGCTGCTCCTACGGACAAAGTCGTCCGCACCTGACTCTACTGGGCGCCGCCATCTTAACCGGAAATACGCACGGTTTCACTCGGAAGTGCCTGGTGTACCCACCCAACTTCGTGCCGTGGATGCCGCTGAAGCTGCTTGCCAGGCTGTTATTCTCTTCTCACCTGGCCGGATACTGCCCTCGGCCCCGCCCCTCCCATCCAGGCCCCGCCTCCAAGCTAGGACGCACCTTCGTGCGGGCCCCGCCCCTTCACGCTCAAGTCGCTGGTCAAAGCTCCGCCCCTGGCCTAGTTTTCGCACCTCAGCGAGTCCCGCCCCCGATCTTTACTGCAAGCTCCACCCCTGTTCTAACGTGTGCCCCGCCCCCAGGTCTGACCCCGCCCACACTACTATTCCCGCCCCTGTTCTAGGTGTTTCAGCCTCTCCCAGTTAGGCCCCGCCCCCTTTCCAGGCCCCTCCCACTCATTGCTGTGGGTCATCCTTAGAAGGTTTGGGGCCTCGCCCCCCAATCTGACTTTCGCCTCCACCGGGGCCACCACCCCATCTACTGGAGCCCTGGGGTCGCAACGGTAATGGCTGGCCTGTGAGCCTTGGGCCCCCGGCAACCCCTCTCTCGGCCTCAGTTTCTCCATCTGTCAAATGGAGCTGCGGCAGGGACCCGTCTCATCACCCAGCCTCTCGCTCATGGACTCTTCCCCATGTCCTGCCAGGTGGAGAGGAGAGGATTCTTGAGACCTGGAGCCGGAAAGCAAAGTGCCCCAGAGCCCAGCAAGATTCAGAGCGCCAGAGGAGCCAGCTTGGTGGGGAGGCCCGAGGCCTCCGTGCTCCAGAAGTAGGGTTTAGGCCTGGGCACGTGCTGATGCGGCCCCGGTCTGCAGAGGTGTTGGCCCTGTACTGGGCTTAAAGAAAGTCTCATGTTGGTGCTGGATAGGAGGCGTTTTCCCCCAGGAAAAGGTTGTGCTCAACGCAAAACGGGCACACAGTCACAAACGTATCGAGCACCTGCTGGGCGTGGTTGTGCAAGGGTATATTTTGGGCAGAAACAGGAAGACCCAACAGATAGGCTGTGTGTGTGTGTGTGTGTGTGTGTGTGTGTGTGTGTGTATGGTGTTTCCAGCACTGTGTTGTGAGATGCGTCTGGGCCTGTGGATGTGCTATTATATTAGTTTCCTATTGCTGCTGTTAACAAATTACTAAAAATGTGGTGGCTTAAAACAGCACACATTTATTATCTTGCAGTTTTGGAGGGCAGAAATCCAAAATGGGTTTCACAGAACTGAAATCAAACTGTCAGCAGGATTGCATCGCTTCTGGAGGCTCTCAGGGAGAATGTTTTTCTTGCCTTTTCCAGCTTCTAGAGGCCACACTCGTTCTTTGAAAGGTGGCCCCATCACCCCAAGCTCTGCTTCCATCTTCCCGTCTCCATCACTGACTGCTCCTCCTGCCTCCTTCTCACAAATACTCTTGTGATTCCATCGAGCTCACCCAAATAACTGGGATAATCTCCCTATCTCAGTCACATGGGCAAAGTCCCTTCACCTATGCACAGATCCTGGGAATTAGGATGTGGACATCTATGTACACGTCTATCAGTTTATAATACATGGCCAAGGGCAGTGGCTCAGGTCTATAATTTCAATACTTTGGGAGGCCAAGGTGGGAGGATCACTTGAACCGAAGAGTTTGAGACCAGCCTGGGCAACATAGTGTGACCGCATCCCTACAAGAAAATACAAGAATTAGCCATGTGTGATAGCATCTGCCTATAGTCACAGCTATGCAGGAGGCTGAGGCAGGAGGATCACTTGAGCCCGGGAGGACGAGGCTGCAGGGACCTATGATTGCCCCACTGCACTCCAGCCTGGGCAACAGGGGGAAGACCCTGTCTCAAAAAAACAAAACAAAACAAAATAAAAAGAGGGTAATCATATAATTTTTCATCTACAGCAAGATACTTGAGAGCAAAAAGGGACCCATTAATGCCTCCAGAACCAGGAGGCAGATCCCTCCTGTTAATAGTTACAGAGCCAGGCCAGGTGTGGTAGCTCACACCTGTAATCCCAGCACTTTGGGAGGCTGAGGTGGGCAGATCACTAGGTCAGGAGTTCGAGACCAGCCTGACCAACATGATGAAATCCCATCTCTACTAAAAATACAAAAATTAGCCTGGCAGGGTGGCAGGTGCCTGTAATCCCAGCTACTCGGGAGGCTGAGGCAGGAGAACTGCTTGAACCCGGGATGTGGAGGTCGTAGTGAGCTGAGATTGCGCCATTGCACTCCAGCCTGGGTGACAGAGCAAGATTCCATCTCAAAAAAAAAAAAAAAAGTTACAGAACCAGCCTGGCCAACAGGGTGAAACCCCATCTCTACCAAAAATACAAAAAAAAAAAAAAAAGCTGGGTGCCTAAAATTGCACCCTGCTCAACAGGCCCCTCTTAACCCCCTTCCCTGCTGTGGTCACCTCCTCAGCACGGACATAATTATCTAACACACCATACATTTTGCCTATTGACCTTGTTGATCATCTGTTTCATCCATCTGCATGGAAGCTCCACAGGACAGGCCTTTTTGCTGATTTAGGTCACTGCCATGTTCTCACCAACAGAAACAGTGCCTGGCTGAGATTTGGCACTCATTAAAGATTTGTGGACTTAAGGTGTTGAATAGGGGACTTGGAAATATCACAGAAGCCAAAAGGCTCCTGTGTACACTTCATTTTATTTTATTTTTGTTAGAGACAGGGCTTCACTCTGTTGCTCAGGCGGGAGTGCAGTGGTGCAAACATAGCTCACTGCAGCCTCGAACTCACTGGCTCAAGCCTCAGCCTCCTACGTAGCTGGGACTACAGGCACATGCCACCACACCCGGCTAATTAAAAAAAAAAAAATTTGTAGGGATGGGGTCTGGCTGTGTTGCTGAGGCTGATCTCCCCACCTCGGTCTCCCAAAGTATTGGGATTACAGGCATGAGCCACCTTGCCCAGTCCTGGGTGTGCTTTATAGAGGATTTGAGAATTAAATAGGTGTCTAACACTTTCGGTTACATGACATAGAGGGATCTATGGTTTACGTGGAAAGCTAATGGGGGCAGGTGGGTCACTCACAGGCAGAGCACAGGCTTATGGACATGCTACAGTGGGGATGTATGGGCTATACTGGGGCCCACATGAAGGTATAAAGGACCCTATCATGAGCACAGAGAATATATGGGGGTCTAAAAACATACACAGGGACCTCAGGGGGTTCTGGAAGCTTCTCTGTAGAAGTAAAGAGAATCCTAAATCACTCTGGGCTGTGGGTAGATATGCAGCCTTGACACTGGTGGGGACATAGACTTACCCTCACCCTGGATGGGTGGGCTTAGGGGGCTGGGGAAAGAGACATGAGTTTGGGGCCAGCAACTCCAAGAATTCTTTCCCTTCTCTGTCTCTGTCTCCTTCGATATGTCTGCAGTTCTCCCCAGCACATGTCCCTCCACCTGTGTGTACCCCCTGGCCCCTCCCTGCAGCTCCACCTGCGCCCCCCTCTCCCCCACCTCTCTGGCTGGGCTTCCTCTCTCTGTCTCTCCGAATCTCTGAGTCTCTCCATCCCTCTGTCGGCTTCCAGCAGTTCTCTCTCCTTCTCCCTGTCTGTTTTCCCGGCTTGCCATACCTTCCTTCTCTTCTGTCCCTGCCCATCTCTGCCCTCCCTCCCTCTCTGCCTCAGCCTGTCTCTGGTGGTCTCCATCCCTCTTGTGTCTCTGCCTGTCTCTCGTCTCTGTGTCAGCCAGGATCTTTCTTTGTGTGTCTCCATCTCTGCCCCATCCGTTGGGTCCTCTCTCTCTCTCTCTCCATCCTTCCCTCCATCCTCTCTCCTGCATCCTCCCACCTCCTCTCCATCCCTCCAGCTGAAGGCCCGCCCCTGTCCCCCCCCCCCGCGCTCCCCCTCCCCCCTCCGAAAGGGTTAACTTTGGGGAAGGGCCCGGAGTCCCCGGATGGTGATGTCAGCGTGCCGGAGAGAAAGGACGAGGTGGCGGGGGGAGGCGGAGAGGAGGAGGAGGCGGAGGAGAGAGGGCGCGTGGGGGGGCGGGGGGGACCTCGGCCTGCAGCATCCGCCGGCCCGCACCTCAGACCCCCCCGGCGGGGGGAGGCGCAGGAAGCGGGGGGCCGGCCAGAAACGGGCTGGGGAGGGGGGGCCCCGCAGCCCCCCCGGGCCATGCTGACTCCCGGGGCCTGACCCCCCCGGGCCAGCCCCCCCTCCCCCAGCTCCGCGGCCCGCCGAGTGGGGGGGGCCAGCCCAGCCCCCTGGGGACCCCCGGAGAGGTGGGGGGCAGCCGGGGGGGCCGGGACGGAGCGGTCGCCGGCCCCCACCGGAGAGACGGGGCGACCGGCCGCAGAGGGGGCGGCCGGGGGACCTGTCGGGCCGGGACCAAGGGCACCATGTCGTCCGGGACCAAGGAGGGAGGCGGGGGCTCTCCCGCCTACCACCTCCCCCACCCCCACCCACACCCACCGCAGCACGCCCAATATGTGGGCCCCTATCGGCTGGAGAAGACGCTGGGCAAAGGACAGACAGGTGAGTCCAGCAGAAGGGGACACCTGGGGGGGGCAGGGTGGAGGTGGCGGCAGAGGCGGGACTCAGGGTATTCAAATGGCAGGGGCTGGCTCCCCAGACCCCTGGACCCCTCATAGAGAAGGGACTTGGGATTCAGACTCCTGGGTCCCAGGATGGAGGGGGTTGGGGGCGCAGACTCTGAGGTCCTGAAGGAGAGGGGCTGGGGGCCTGGACTCCTGGGTCTGAGGGAGGAGGGGCTGGGCCTGGACTCCTGGGTCTGAGGGAGGAGGGGCTGGGGGCCTGGACTCCTGGGTCTGAAGGAGGAAGGCCTGGGGGCCTGGACTCCTGGGTCTGAGGGAGGAGGGACTGGGGGCCTGGACTCCTGGGTCTGAGGGAGGAGGGGCTGGGGGTCTGGACTCCTGGGTCTGAGGGAGGAGGGACTGGGGTCCTGGACTCCTGGGTCTGAGGGAGGAGGGACTGGGGGCCTGGACTCCTGAGTATGAAGGAAGAGGGTCTGAGGTCTGGACTCCTGGGTCTGAGGGAGGAGGGCGGTCGGAACCTTGAGTGTTGGGACAGGGAGTTTGGGGCCCTAATGCTCCAGCCCCCATAGGGGCAGAGGCTGGAGGGGCTCCAGGGCCGGGGAGGGGATGGAGGCGGCCTGCGGAGTGGAGCCAGGCTGGGAGCTGAGGTTCTTGCTGCAGTACAGCTGCAGACTGGGGTGGAGCGCATCCGTCCTGGGAAGCCTCTTCCCTCTGGACCGTCCTCTGGCCTCCCGCTCTCCAGGCAGCGAGTTG